TTTTTAAACTTAAAATTTTGTAACCGGATTTTAAGTGACTGGAGAAACGTGGGTATTTAATAGGTTACTGGCGCCCTGAACTTTACAGTTCTAAATACCGCACGACCAGCTCCGACTGTGTGCTAGCCGACGTTTCTGCCACAACATCTTCCGGATGCGAATCCAACGAAAAGGTGGCATCTTATTTTGGTAAGATTTTTGTTTACATGGAGTTCGGGCTCCTTGTGTAGTCTCCATGCCTATACCCATGTCGCAATTCTAATTCTAATACAAGTTATTTCAAGTTCACTTGAAATAGCCAAATTGTGTCAGATTGTTTTGTGTCTATTGCTGAAATTTATATCGTTTCTTCTGCAAGATACTTTTACAATACTGGCACCAGAATTAAACCAAAAGTACTTGAGTCCAAAGGGGTGAATTAGTATAAGTCAAGTACAATATGTCTTACTTAATTCTAATGTAAGTCTGCAACATAGTCACTTGCTTTAATTTATCCCTTTATCTTTATCCCCAGGCTCAAGTGCCCTGAATGAAATCCATTGAAAGCTTTGATCAAGACAATTGCACAATGAATCTTGCAATAAACCTGATGCTGATTTCAGCAGTAGGTACACAGCAGTCTTGTATAAGTGTCTTGTGCAAGATTTTGCTACCAAGGAATGTGTTAACGTAACATTACAGAATTTTCGACCCACTAAACTTCAATTTCAGATGATTTTTCACCTCCACCTTTTAAAAAACCGAAATGCACATCATATTTAAATTGTTACTTGCTATAAGTGTTATAAGTATACTGTGTTGTACTACGAGTACTTAAATTCCCACATTTAGAAGAAATCAGCAATATACATCGTACTGATGAGGACCAATTAGTTCGAAACAAATGTATCTAACCATAGTTTTTGGCAAGTAAATGTGCAATGCATTTTACATAAAGGCAGGTAAATAGACTTTAAATTTCTTTAAAATTTGCAGTTTTTTATGGTTTCTTTAAATAAATATTAATTACAAGAGTCTCTACGTACATATTTTTGATACAAACAGAATGAATTTATGTATTTGTCACTCATTTAAACATCACTGCTTTAACTTTTTCATTTAACCAAGTGATAATTAAAGTATTTCATATGTCATGGAACAGCTATTAATGGTTCACCTTAATTTTAATTTTTAACTTAAACCATTAGTAGTTGTTTTTTACTTATGAGATACTTTTTATTCTTAGTGTATTTTTACTATTTAAATTTATCGCTATTATGGTGCAGCGACATCTATTGGATTGGAATTAGAGGTTACTTTAATTGTATTTTCTCACGCAGTTTCCTTAATTATTTTATGGTATGTGGCTTCCGAGTGTATCGTTTGCCACACCGACTGCAGATGGCGTACTTTGCCGCTGCTGCCGACAGAATACACAGAATAACATCCTATTATTTAGTTACTCGTATGAGTATACTGTTGGCTTTGTTATCGTGCGGATGTTGCGTAATTAATTCCTATCCGTTAATGTTTCTGGTGGTGTACTGTATACTCCGCGGTAGAAATTATAGAGAGTGACTCATCGCTAGCATTTGGACTGGTAAGGGGGATGAAGCGTGCAGGGAACGAAAATCCATTGGCGTATCTGCGTAAAAGGCAACAAGATATAGAAAATATGGAAAAAAAATAATAAAACATAACATCTAATATTTTTTTACGATTTGCTATAACCGGCACTTTGATCAATTTTAATTATTACAGTGTTTTAAAACGTCCCGGTTGTGTTTTGTTAATTTATAAATTTATGATAGCCACAGAATTAGACCCCTCGCCTACGCTTATGCTATGACGTTTCTAAGGACGGGTAAATCAAGTCCGTTTACACCCACTAAAAAAGCATTTCCCTATTCCGTACCAAGTGCAAAAGACAGAGACAGAATATAGATCGACGTTCAGTGTAACTCGGTCTATAGACGATTATAGATTCTATCGATGTGCGTAGCGAGCGGCACAAAGACAAATAATATTCAACCGTTATAAAAATCATTTTATATTTTATACGCGTAATAGTGTTTTTATATTATGTCTGAGTCAATCTCAATAATTTCGACCGCGGGATATAGACAATTTAATTTGTTGCTTTTTAATAAATAATGGTACGTCTATGTCCCGCGGTTCAGTTCTGACTACAAATACAAATCAAATAAACTTACAGAATTTCTAAAACACTGAGTGGTATCAAAATTCTTCAACTCTTAGTGAGGGTCTCTCAGCATTTCTGTCACTAGCTGATATAATCGTATACATTTTCAATTAATTTTCACCTTTATTTTGTTAAGTTGCATTATGTTCTTTAATATTAACTTGAAAATAAAACAAGTTTATATTAAGGTATATTTGATCCAATTATGTTGACTTCAAGATTATATGGTAGCATTTGTGCCCCTTCATTTTAATACAACTTGTATAAAGTTTATTTTGGAAGACTTTGATTTATATTTAATTATTTTTAATCCTTTAGAACAGGAACAAATACAGACTATTAAAACTCGAACTTTACCAGACATTTTTTTTGTTACCGGGGCAATATTAACTGATATTATTAACTCCTATAAGTATTTGTCGTAGCTTAGTTGGGGCAATTAGGTACACCTTATTGTTGTAAGATACGAATTAAAAGTTACTTACGGAAAAACTTGGATCAGGCATCCGATTTGGAAGATTTAGTAGGAATCACGGGAGACATAAGTACAGTACTTTGCAATTTTTGAATATCAGCTAGAGTCGTATGACCTTGTTCATCAAATTCCTTCCATCTTATGTAGTTCTGCCTCATGTATGTCAGCAGTTCTGGCATATCAATAAACGCTAAAAAAAATGTTTATTACATGTAGATTGCAGTTATATATAGGGTGTCTAAAACTTAGTCTATGATATTTTGTTACAGTACTCCATGATTAAAAATAAGAGAAAAAGTTTATACATATGAGCATAGGCGAAGAAATACCTCTTAAGGGGTTACAATTGCTAATAGACTCTAATAGTTGTTTCCTTCCAAATACATGTACATATTGAAACAGTTCATGAATAATGAATTTTGAAACTACATGTAGATATAGATATTACTACTAAACTAAGGAAGGTAACCTTTTTTTGTTAATTTAATTTTCTTTCTGAGAAAGAGTATACAAAACGCACGGCATCGATCCCAGTTGAGATTTGCAGTTGAAGTTTATTTTGAAATATTGTATTGAGTGAATAAAAAATATTTTCTTTTACTCTATAATTTAGAATCACGATCAAATAATAGCCAATCATCTTATCGAATTTTTAAAACTAATCAATCACAATGTCTAGTTTCAAATCATATTTATTTATTTATTTATTTATTTATTTATTTCACTATATGTATATTCAAAAGGCAAGTGCTAGGATACAAATGAATGCAGTAATACACCACAAAACGCAGCCAAAAATATGTGAAATCAATAAATTGAATTAATAATAGTAATGATAATTAAATATGGAAATATAATAGACATAAAATATACACATATACCTACATAAATATGTAAAGACACATGCATGCATACACATACATATCAATAAAATATTAATAAAATAGTATTAAAACTAGTGTTTAACAATAAAGAGTCCGCTGTTTAATTTCATTAGTGCAAAAAATATATTTATTCTTTCCTTTACATCGCAACAATTGACTGATGATTGTATCATCTGATACAAAAAGTCGTTTTCATATCGTTAGTTGCTACAGCAATTTAAAGATATTATTTTCCCGAGAAGTGAGCCTAGGAACTTTGACTTGAATTTTGTTCAGCAATTGATTAAGTTGTTTAGTATTTTATGTAACAAGACAATTTGATGTGTAATTCTACGCGTTTTTAACTCACTACAATGAAATCGCTGAAGAAGATTATGTGGATATTCTTTTTTACAACAAATTTAAAAAATTTTCTTTGAACTTTTTCCAAAGAGTACCTATAAAAAGGGCTCCAGACAATCAATGCATATTCTAACTTTGAAAATAAAGTAATTTCATAGTATGTATGCTGTGGAATCCTCGAGTATAATAATACCTAAAGACTTATAAGCAGATGATGCAACTACTTCAATGAGTTTTATAGAATTTAATTTAGCATCGAAAACACTCAGATCTTTCATGTACATCTGCAACATACAACTATCATGGTTATAATTATATCAGATGTAGTTAATTTTATGTGTAAAAGACATTGCATTACATTTATCAGCATTTGGAGGTAATTTATTATGATTGCACCAAACAGCTATTAGGTTTATTGCTCTTTGAAATAGAGCACAATCTGATTCAGATTTAACATCTGTGAATAATTTCAGGTCATCAGCATGCAATAAACAATGTACCCAGTTAACATTCGCAGTTATGCCATTAATAAACATTACGGATAATATAGGGTCCAAAATTGATCTTTGTGGTACACTTGACCTCCGCAGGAACTTTTCAGATTTACACCTCCGGAATTGGACAGTAATTCCGATAATTTTCTTGGCATTCTATGTCAGCAAATATCGTACGGACTTAACTAAATCATTTTCTTTTCTTCCTTGACAAAGCTTAACGTGCAAAACAGCTATGATAGACAAGATATTACAATTTCTGTATTTTTATGCGCTATTGCAGCAGTATTTTAAATATCATTATTTTATCTTGAACAATTTTGGAGATATCTGGAAAAAACAACTTAAAGGGGAGCTAATTTGTGTGGCAATGTTCCCCATAGAAGCTATTTCAAAACCTTAGATTGTATTATAAGCTGCTGTAATTTCAAATGAGAACACTGTAAAATAATAAATCTGATCAAACGCAGAAACTTTGCAATTATAGAAGTCAACAAACATTAAAAACTTCATACGGATACTAACTTATAACAACGTTACCAGCCGAGAAACATCATAGACCTAGTAAACTATGGAGTGGCCCTAGAAAGAGAGGTCAATCGTGCTGATGTGTGCAAGGTAGATAAAGCTAGTGCAGGCAAATACCGGTAAAACAAATAATGGTATACTGGTATACCGGTACAAAAATACCTGAGAGTAAAAATCATGTAAAAGATTTCATAAATTTTTGGGTGTGATTTAGTGTATATTTGTGAAAACTAAATATGGTACAATCGTGTTCAGCGATCAATTGCGTAAAGGGACGCTTAAGTGGAGAAAACATAAATTTTTATAATTAGAAAAGAGGTTATGATGGTACCAATATGTTTATACTTTTCGCATCTTTTTGAAAATAATGACCAAGTAGAGTTGTCTCTGATGATAACATATTTGATTATATTATTTCCCCCATCCTCAAAATAAAATGTCATCATCACATCAAAATGTTGCCCCCTTAAATGTGTCACTCTGGGGGACCGCCTAGCCGGGTGTTTTGGCTGGCGGATTTCGATCTGCCGAGTCAAGCATCACGGACGTGGGCTGGAATTTGGATGGGTGACCTAAGGCAGGCTCGGAGACGTGGCTGTGGCAGCCTACCAAGAGACCTGGGTCGCCCAACATTTACCGCACGCGTGTGGTCCCCGATAAATGGTAATGAGAACAGAGCAAGAAATCTCTGTAACTCAAGACCATGCTATCATACATAAACTGTACGAAACTTTTCCACCAAGCCATCCGTGTAGTAAATAAGATGGTTTGAAGAAAAGTACTCGAGTAGTGAAGGAGGGTGTACAAGGGGCTTAATAAGGCCTAAGTGCCGTGGTGGAAGACAATTCCACCACCCTCCGACATACATACATACATACATGTGTCACTCTTCAAATTAATTATTTTTTGTCATAAAACTAAATACATATAAATATACAGTTTCAACTGAATTGTGCTTATAACATGCTTCAGCAAAATTTCTCTTTAAATAATATGTTGAAAGAGAAAGCATCGATATAGTTTTGCAAAGCAAGACAATAAGAATTATTTAAAACGTCTACTTCAGAAGAGCTTGCAGCAATTTTAACTGATCGAGCTTACGACATGAGGAAAATAAATGGAGAAATACATAAGGAAGGCATTATAAAAACTATTTAGAAAATTGTACACTATGAATATTTTTTAAATATGTATAATAAAATATATTTGACTTTATATTTCTAATTATTACATTCCCCCTTTAATACCTCCAATTTGTATAGAAATTCCATATAAACAAATAGTGCTTATGCTCTTATTCATTAATAATAATTAAAATAACTGGTACAAATATGTATTGTTAAAAGAAGGGAAATCGAATTTAATTCAGTTTGAGTTAAGATAAAGAATTGTTAGTACCATAAGTATAGTTTTACTCATAGAATTAATATATCTTATCTACACATTTTGAATGGATTTTTTTCTTCTAGTCTTGTCTATATTATTTTTATAAAGTCTTTGCAGATCAGAAATTTGTCGGCTGTTCCTTCCTTCTTTGCCATACACTTGAATATAATTAAAAATCTAATCAATAATTTTTAAAAATTTTTTACTTAATCATACTTTCAGTACAGCCACCACACATAAATGTAGTTAAAATCATTTTAACTTCAAACGGGAATACGGCCCAACAGAAAAAATGAGTAAGGAATCGAGTACAGCTAGTTGATTGGTTGAGTTAAATGTAGCGCGCTACAGTCGAAGTTCTGTAAACGAAGCAAAAGCCCGCACTAGCTCTATCTCTCTCGCACACGTCTGTGCGATTGCCTTTTGCAAAATTGCAAAATGACAGTTGGACGAGTCCAGTAGTTTATAGTTATGAAGTCTATGAGCAACATTTACAGAACATTTAACAATTAACTTCAAATAAACGTATTATAATTACAAAAATAAAACATTAAACTAATAGAACTAATTTCAACAGTCTATATAAAACCTTTTTTTTTAATCGTAAAATGCGAAGGTATAAGTTAATTTCGGGACACTTTATAAAAACGATTTTGAAGGACTTACCATTCCAAGCTTCAAACATGTCGTTGATGATGTAATCCACGAAACCAATCTGTGACTTGGGTATCGAACAAGTATGTCTGTCGAACATGGGCATCACTACAGGAAGACCCCTGGCTTTCTCTTCGTCCGTCTGTTGGAAGTACTCTTCGGCTATCCGTCTCGCCCATTCCACGCACAGCCTAAGCGGCCTTGTAGGGTTCGAAACGTCGGAGCATTTGATCATCATCCGTTTGACCAAAGTTACGTTCTCTGGGAGAGAAAGGGGTACGTAATCTTGGCCATCCTAGAAATAACGTGTAAGTTGTTAAGTTGTCGACGAGAAATCCAAGAAAAAAATGAATTTTTTTGCTATTTTTTTATACTTTTTTGCAATAACAATTAAACCCACATTTTTTTTATTTGCATAGAAATATTATCATTTCTGATGTTATTTAGAAACCGTTAAAGCAAAAATCTCCAATCATATGTGTTTTACCCAACCCGAAACAGATACCGCCTGAACTATATGGCTCTTTTTGTAGACTAATTTATCTGTTATTTTTTTTAAAGGATCGATAAATACCGCCTAGAAGCAAAGTGAATTATGTCTCTAGAATTATTCACAAGTTCCTGCATGTTTCAATTTGAAACAATGTCATGACATTTGTACGCCTTTTCTTGCTACGAGGCGCTGCGAGAATCGCATATACAACATAATTTTTTTATACAAAAGCAGTACGCAGCGCAACCGTCACATGTTNTCCAATCATATGCGTTTTACCCAACCCGAAACAGATACCGCCTGAACTATATGGCTCTTTTTGTAGACTAATTTATCTGTTATTTTCGATCGATAAATACCGCCTAGAAGCAAAGTGAATTATGTCTCTAGAATTATTCACAAGTTCCTGCATGTTTCAATTTGAAACAATGTCATGACATTTGTACGCCTTTTCTTGCTACGAGGCGCTGCGAGAATCGCATATACAACATAATTTTTTTATACAAAAGCAGTACGCAGCGCAACCGTCACATGTTGCGAAAAGAAATTCCCTGCATGGTAGAACTGCAATTCCAATAACGGTCAGAAAAATGCTGAGCTTGGGAATGTGACATCCGAAATCGTGCCTAGACATGAATCCAGCTTTAAGAATTAACCTTACCTCAGCGTCCGATCCGGACGTTCTCGTACAGAAAACATTCACGAACTTGGCTAGATGTTCGAAATGCTTTGTCATTTCTGTTGCTAGAATCATATCGACGACATTGGACCTCGCTATTTTATAAGTTTCTCTATCTAAGTTTTTAAATATATTGACTCTTTCATCACCTGAAAAAAAAAATTACGGTTATTTAATTAAAATTTATGGCAATAATATTTATGAGAAATTAGTAGAACTTACCTAAAGTAAGTTTGAACGTAAGGGCTGCATGATGTGACTCTAAAACGGTCACGTCATTATACAGTATGGCTAAAGGATTGTCTGAGTTTGATAAGAAGGCGCTGGATTTTCCGGGATGGTCGACGTCATGAGCAGCCGCTGCTATTAAACTTGTAGCCTCGTCCATTTGCTCCATAATTGCCTTCATTCGCTCCTTTTCCAGAAATCCAGCTGTTGCCTGAAAAAGCGAAGAGTTGAATGAAGTATATTTACTTCCCTTTTTGTTACAAAACACATTTAATTACATATACGGCAGTGGCGGCTCGCCAGGTGACGTAAGTGACTTAAAGGCTTCACCTAAAATTTCCGTTTGGTTATGCAACTTAAAATTATTCTTAATTTTATATAAATTTTATAATTTAAGTATAATTCTGTATTGAAAATGTATTGTGTTTGTTTGTTTTACACGCAGAAATAAACACAATAGTTTGTATTTCGCTTCATTTCGTAGCTGTTTACGGCGGTTGTCATGGTAACGAGGCGGCCAACACGTGAATAATAATACGATACGTCGCCTAGTGCACGATTATAAGGTTCTTTGTTAATATTTGTTTTGTATCAATAATTGTAGAAATGTTTCATATGTATGATCCAGTATGATTTTTATTGGAAAAGCCAAGACGGAAAATTGAGGACAAAAAGGATTTTCGAAATTGCGAGAGACCTGTGCCTTCTCTCGATGTGGAAAAAAAGGGGAACGTCAAAAGACAAAGTGTACCTGTATGTTCGGAAGTTTTGGAATGAATGGTATATGGAGTATAAGTGGTTTTGTTTAATTAAAAAAAACTTTTCTGTATGCCGTGTATTATGTTTCTATTTTTTATTAAATCTAAATGAAAATCCTTCTCGCGAACGCCAGTTTTTCGGTAATATTGCAAATACAACTAAAAATTTCCAGATTTATTTAAAGCTGTTTGACCTTGAAATGTTGTGTTGTAGAATCTAGATGCCTTTTTCAAATATGCAAATTAATGTTGTGAAGGTTAATAAATTATACAGGGTGATTCAGTCATGATGTTATTAATTTTAATCACGTATTCGGAAGACAGAAAATCGGAAAAAATTTTTTACTCGACTTTTAAAAATGAAGGAAATCAACCCATAACTCCCGCTAAGAAGGCGGCCCTGCCAGATGCCCGGATGCTCGGAAAATTTGTAACGTAATGTCACGAACAAATCGTCAGNATTTAATTACATATACGGCAGTGGCGGCTCGCCAGGTGATGTAAGTGACTTAAAGGCTTCACCTAAAATTTCCGTTTGGTTATGCAACTTAAAATTATTCTTAATTTTATATAAATTTTATAATTTAAGTATAATTCTGTATTGAAAATGTATTGTGTTTGTTTGTTTTACACGCAGAAATAAACACAATAGTTGCGCGTTGAACACCTTTTAAAAAAACATTGCTTTCGTTGAGTGAGAACATCAATCTCGTACCATACAGCGTATAGCATAAGCAAGTTACGCGGATCGAATCAGTTTGTATTTCGCTTCATTTCGTAGTGTGGTTTATGGCGGTTGTCATGGTAACGAGGCGGCCAACACGTGAATAAACTACAGCGTGGAGGAACTAGTGACGCGGAAATTGCAGTAGCATCGCCATCGCCCATCGTCTGCCTTTAAACAGTTTATACGATACGTCGCCTAGTGCAAGATTATAAGGTTCTTTGTTAATATTTGTTTTGTATCAATAATTGTAGAAATGTTTCATATGTATGATCCAGTATGTTTTTATTGGAAAAGCCAAGATGGAAAATTGAGGAGAAAAAGGATTTTCGAAATTGCGAGAGACCTGTGCCTTCTCTCGATGTGGAAAAAAAGGGGAAAGTCAAAAGACAAAGTGTACCTGTATGTTCGGAAGTTTCGGAATGAATGGTATTCGGAGTATAAGTGGTTTTGTTTAATTAAAAAAAACTTTTCTGTATGCCGTGTATTATGTTTCTACTTTTTATTAAATCTAAATGAAAATCCTTCTCGCGAACGTCAGTTTTTCGGTAATATTGCAAGTGCAACTAAAAATTTCCAGATTTATTTAAAGCTGTTTGACCTTGAAAATTTGAAAATTTTCGCCTGCGGTGCTTTTTTTTTAGTCAATCAATGAATATGCTTCACCTATTCTCAATGTCACGATCCGCCACTGATATACGGGGTGTTGTAGAATCTAGATGCCTCTTTCAAATATGCAAATTAATGTTGTGAAAGTTAATAAATTATACAGGGTGATTCAGTCATAATGTCATTAATTTTAATCACGTATTCGGAAGACTTAATAGACAGAAAATCGGAAAAAAAATGTTACTCGACTTTTAAAAATGAAGGAAATCAACCCATAACTCCCGCTAAGAAGGCGGCCCTGCCAGATGCCCGGATGCTCGGGAAATTTTGTAACGTAATGTCACGAACAAATCGTCAGCTGAAGCGAACAGCGTCGCCAAGTTCACATCATAATCTGTGTTCACATTTAATTAATCCGCTTTAGTATACGGATACACATGTACGAAACCAATAAAATGCAAGTAAATAAAGGATCATGCTGCATTTTATTATAACTAATTTTAATAATTGTATTAACTTAGTGTAAAATGTTTTAACAAGCCTAACTTCTCGAAGTCAACTTTCGTTAAAAGAAAATAAATAAAGCAGAGGTTTGTAGGCACACTGTATTTTATCAAATAAAAAAAGTCGGCACACTAAATACCCGAATATACAAAATACACTACACACGGTTACAAAACCATTACCTAACAATTTAAAGCGTTTATTCAAATCTACCACCCTCCATATCTCCCGCATTTTTCCCGCAAAGGGGTTAACATAACACATTTTCAAAAATTTCAAGCTTTAGAAGTAGCTGATTTCCCCAATCGTCTTGAATTTTGCAATTGGTTCCTAAGTGCAGCAGAACTTTATTAACAAAGCGCTCTGGACGGATGAATGCTGTTTTACTCGTGCTGGCATTTTAAACAGGTGCCTACCTAGGTTACACCAAAGTTTAAATTTACGCTAAAGTTTACATTTATTATGTAAACTTTGGTTATACGCAACAGCATACTGAATAATAAATTGAAATACTAAAACTGTGTATTATTTAACATAATAAATTATAAAACGTGAAAACGTTAATAATATTAAAAATGATAAATTGTAATAACCGTACATTCGAAAACAATCAACCCTATTCATTGATGACACGATTTTCCTTTGATAAAAGACCGACAACTTTTTGCTCTACTTTGCATGGAATACGATCCTACTACAGTTCGCATTAGTCTAGGAACCAGATCAGGTTCCGTGTACTAGCTATAAAAATAAACTTTTTACAGCCATTTTAACATTTAATTTGTTGATAACAATTAATCTGTCCACTTTCAGGCTTTGCGACCAAGTTTTTTGGATTCAGGAGGTCAAAATACTTTAGAATAAGTTATTTGCAGCCGTGGGACTTTGGTTGGCAACGGAACTCTGTCTGGCTCCTAGACTAAAGTGCAAATTAGAAGGTTATTGACCTCGACAGAGTTGTTTATTTGTCTCCGTCCGATTGTATTTTTTCCTTCTATTACTTACAGTCAATATTTAAATACTACATACATTTCACCCTCTCTTTATAATTTATCTAGTGAGTGTTATGTAGAAAATAAGTCCGTTCGAGAATCGATGACCGGCGATGACGCTGAAGCTGATTGACTTTTATCAGCGCTCACATGCTTCGCTCTGCATTTTTCTTGTTTTGGCTATCGTCACGTCTTAGTTAACAGTGTTATTAAGGAATCGAGAACGGGGATTCGTTATATAGAGAGCGTTAGACGTAGGCATATGTATTGTGCATATAAATTGAATATTTAATTAAACTTACCTTTTATTGGATTACCTCGTATATTTTTAGAAAATATCTTACAGTTGTTTTTTTATGTCATTATTTCTGTAATGAAAATGAAATGGTTATGAAATGAAATTTAAATTATTTGGTCTCTTGGGGTTTTGTAATTTCAATATTAAATTTTATTTAAAGTGAAACAGAGCTAATTTCTTTGCAGCCATAATAGTCACATTTGGTCAGATGAAAACCCGCACACTACTCGTCGGTTTAGCTTTCAGAGGAGATTCGGTGTCAATGTATGGGCAGGAGTATATGGCGATTGTTTAATTTGGTCTTATTTTCTACCTGAACATCTGAATGGGCCGCGTTACTTTCAATTTTTAGTAGAAGGCTTACAGCAAATTAAAAAATGATCACTATGATGTTAATAAAAAATGATTTTTGGCATGTCATGCTCAGACCTCCTCGAGGTTCTTGATGGGCAGCAATAACAATTTAATATGTTGATTGCATAATTATAAAAAATAATTTATAGCATTTTAAATTATTATTGGCCGACATGAGCAAACCGTTTATTTATTGTCTTTATATGTGCGAAAATATATAAATATGGCAACATTGCATCTAGGTCGCTTTGTTCATATCGTAGCCGGCTGATGTCAGCCGGTCAGTAACAGCCTGAAAAGGGGGTTAAATAATGATTTGAAAATATTTTTTTTCAGCTTAAATATGCATTTATTATTTTTTTGATCACGCCATCGTATTATACTCATTTTTCTCTATCTGTTCTTAAAATTAATGACATTATGACTGAGTCACCCTGTATATGGTCTCTGGAAACGATGAGTAAAATTAGGAGATAATTCTACTGGTAAAATTGTGTAAAATAAATTTCTATGCCAATTTTTATAAAGCTCAATAGATACGGAATTACATAATTTCAGTAATATATTTTAAAATACATAATATTTTGCTATAACTTTTTTCGAATAAGTGATTTTATCCAAATTTGTTACACTTATTATTAGTAACAAACTCCACCAAATTTCTATGCCAATTTTTATAAAGCTTTACGACAGCCTCAAAAGCTTAATTACCTTTGAAAAAAATACATGTAAATCTGCGTCAGCGATTGCAAAAATAAAATCTGTGGTTGTAAAAAAAATTTTTTGAAATGTACAAGTGTTTGTTTACATTGTAATGCATCCCAATGTGAAAATTTTGAAACTCCAAACATCCAATTAGATGATGATTCTTTTGACACGTTTGAATCACTCATTGATGCAACGAATTATGTGGAAAATGAAGTTGATTGCGTGGAAAATATAGGAAAGGAAACCATGGAAGAAGAAGAAAATGAATCGCAATCGAGGGAATTGAAGAGAAGAAGAATTGAAACTTAAGAGTTATATACTTACATAAGCTGTGAAAATAAAAAATGTAATCGATGAATATATTTATACCACGTAATTTTCTGTACGATAATTAATATTTACCATAAAACGTTGTACTTACTTTATTTCACAAACAGTTATTAAAATGTTAACAAGAGGTGAGAGAATTTTAGACTAACGGAAAATTACATTTTTTTCGATTGGAGTTCAAGTTTTTTTTTATTAGTGAAAAACCGTTTTTTTGACTTTTATGATTTTTTTGGTTAACTTCGCCGTTTATGTGCCACAGGAAAAATACACTGTCTTAGAATTTTTTTCTTATATCACCATATTTTTTGTTTCCTGGTGGTATTTTTTGTAAATTTAACATAAGGCCGTGACAGATTAATTGGACTATATAGTTTCTAAATGCGTACCGTACTACATATAATTAGAAATAATAAAAAACAACACGAATAATGGAAGTATCAGGCAACTTGGAGTATCGAAATTAATACGCATATCTCAGATTGGCAGTTCACAGAATGTCCAACAAGTATGATCGTCAGCAAATAAATGGTTTGGTGACAGTTTGAAAATCCTGTACGAACTTCGAAGGTGTGTTTTGGTTCCGACAGAGAACGGTTCAAATTAGTTGACCATTCCATTCATAAGAACATCTTAGCCAATATATACTAACAATGCAGTTGGGTTAACTATTCGGAACTGCTCTAGAACTGTCTGCTGACAGAACAAGAACAAGCCTGAGTCTGAGATTTGGAACGGTAATTTCAAAATTCGCATGCTTCTGACAATTGCAACCATTGGAGACTGCTGCAAAAACAAACCTCATATCTACGCCTTATAACGCGTTTGCCTACGGCGCGAAATTTGCCGAGTGAATCGTCCATAAATCAAGCTGTCATTGCCTCTGCTTTGATTCGGTCACAACTAGCGTTAACTTCAAGCATCACCCTGCAATCAAGCACATTGATTTATGGTCGATTTACTCACTGAACTCCACATCGTGGGAAGATGCTTTAAAAGAATGTCTTGGCTTACATGAATTAGTGCTTGTATGAAAATGTATATCATCGGTGCTCCAACAAGCTGTAGATATATTGGAAAGTGCCTGTGCAATATAGATATTTTTTACGTATTCCTTACCTGCATGACGTCTGCCGCATGCGTGGAATTGTGATAGGAGTTCTCTGAATGGTAGTTGGCTTCAATAACCGTCAACCAGTTGTAAAGCGTTTTCTCATCACAGTTGAGCACGTTTGCCACCTCGAAGTGGTTGAACAGGTTCATTCCCAGGTGTTGGAGTGGCCTCTTCCTGGACAACTCCTCCAGCCTGAATATGTCGAACTCCCAGGTGAGAGCAGACTCCATCAATTCCCTAAGAGCTGCGGGTACCTGGAAAGTTATGGAGATTTAAATAGAAACTTTGATTTGGTACAAAGAAAAATATATTCATGCTAAAATTAGTTGCATAAGTGTAACTGAAACACGAATTTAATAGTAACGTTTTGCAACGCTCTATTTTAACGCCGGTTGTCTTAAGGTACGATTTTTGAAAATTCTGCGGGCGTTCATCGAAGACGGCTTGGCTTTTAAGGCGGCGATGAACGCCGACCATGAGCACCAATCTAATATATTGAATTTAATGGAAGTGCCTTGTAAAACAACCGACGTTTACGTTCGGCGTTATAAAACATTTCCATTAAATTCAATATATTAGATTCTGGCAATGATAGTCAGTGTCTTAGTGTCTTTGCCGACTTCATCGCTGCCTTAAAAATGAAGCCTAAGCCCTGCCAATATGCTGCGTTAAAATCTATAAAATAATATGAAACATGATTAATTGGTAATTAATTATCTTATTTTATGAAAATAAATAATATAGACTAGATAATTTAATCAATCTAGATAATAACGCATTTTTTTTCATGAACCTTAATCAAATAGAAATGTTCAGAAATCCACAGACTAGTTAAAACTTTAGTGTTGTGTATAATAAGAAATATTTTGGCAGTTATTTTTACTTATTTAGAATATTTTTCAGTGTTTGTGACAATCGTAGAAAAAAATAGATATTGTATTTTACTCGCCATCATTATTTTTATTTCAATAATGAACACTAAAAAATTAGAAATTAAAAAAAGGGGCAGTCAAGAACTTTCAACTGGGAAAGTAAATAATGAATTTTTAATTATAAATTTCTTCCCTTGACTAATCCATTTCATGTTATAATTTCTTACAGTTTTCCTTTATCACTATAAAAGAATAAATTAAAAATATTATATACAACATAATCTACATAACATCTACATAATCTATGGAATGTATTTGTAATTTTTTTTTAAATATATTTAGAAAATAATTATTATTTTATTTATAAGTATTTTACTTGCACATTTTACTTCCTAGTCACTTTCTTTTGAAATAAACAAGTATTAAATGCTTTTGTTTCTTCTAGCTGTTTATTTTTTTCAAAATGTTTTAATCTGAAGTCGTTCGGAAATGTGTACTTTTTTGGTCCAACCATCAGGAAAGTTAACTTTCCCGTAACGTATTTTAATCTATACTTTATACAGTAAATACTCATAAATACACGCGGTCAAACCGATTCACATCAAAAATGCATTATTTAGTAAATATAACATTTATTGAACGTATTATACATATTAAAACGTTTATTGTAACAATTTGTGTATATCTATAGTTATGTTGCAGTTTTTACAACTATTAAACATTGGCCGAAATTTAGTCGGCGACATTATTGCTGGTAATTAGGTATTTCTTCTTCGATAATATTATTACAATAAGCACATTTTGTTTTTGTCTCTCCCCCCACTAAATATTTTACTTGCTATGTCTAGGTTAGCAGATTTAAAAATTTTGCGACAATCTGAGGTATTTTACCTATTTTACCTATTACTTGCTAGCAACCTTTACCATTTGAATATTTACAGAAATAGCGGCAACTTTCAAAATTTTCTGGGTGGCATGCAACATGTTTTCTATACACTGGCATATTAAGTTTCGTTTGTCACAAATGATCTGGGTTTTTTCGTTTAATTATTTGGTATTTTAATCAAAAGCTTTCATCCTAAATCGTTTACATAATTCAAATGTAACGGATACAGTTACAGTACAGATTTTAATATTTTTACATCTAAACGTAGCTTATTCGTTAAGTGCTGGTACTTGAGTAATAAACGTTTCAAGTTGTTTATTTGACAAAAAAAAAAACAAGTTTCACCTTGACGTTTCAAGAAAACACGTAATTTCAAATATTTTCATATACCAATGTGTTCCTTTATATTGTGTGTTGCTCTCGACATTGAGTAATTTGTTCATAACGTAGATGCCTTCAACTTTATAGACACATTGGATAAGTATGCAATTATAACATTTTCGGATCAGAACATCGTATTTTTTGCAAGGCAATAAGTCTTGAAACGTTTGTAAGCGAATTCGCACTTTTCCCTAGATTTATTTGGTATTAAATTTAGGCCCGGTACTTTAAGTCTCGGTTAAGGCTCGATTAACTAATCAGGCGATTGGACTGTGATTATCCTTTATAAAATAAATCAGTATATGTACAGTCTAATCGCCTGATCAGTTAATTAAGCTTTAACCGACACTCAAAGTACCGAGCCAAAGTAACATTTTTTGCAGTTTCGACTAACTCTGGTTGTATCCCGGATACCTGAACATCATCACCAGTCCATTTAAAATATTTTTTAATAGATTTTAGGCACTTATAGGTATTAAAACGAATTTGACGTTCATCGCAGCATTAAATAAACAATGATTGTCAAGGAGACGATTTCATAAGCAATGTAATATAATGAAGAAATGTTAGGTTTGCATTAATAAAAGTTTCTTGGTTTATATTAATTAATTAATATTGTTTTCAATTTCATAAAAAAAAACATTGTATACCTCGTACTAGAAGCACATTCCCTGACTCATTGTTTGTTGAATAGGTACACCTTTATGAGGTGAAACCTGTTTGACTAAGTATACATTTCAAAGAGCATCGTCGTCTTCACGAATAATTTGAAAAGTTTCTCCATTGTCGGTGCTATTAATCATCAGTTATTGTCAGATATTAAGTCGAGAAGTTGTGGCGGGCTTTCGTGGATGATAATAACTTTGCCTCGGCGCTCATTTGTTTCGTAGAATTGAGATACATCGAGCTGAAAGCTTTTGGAATCAGTTACGGGCTGGAACGCTAAGATAACTTGTTGCGCAATCGAACGTTTCCCTGAAATATTCTAACAAATACATCGATCGCTCAACTTTTGAGCTAATAAAAGTTGCATGGAAATGACAGAAAAAAATATTTTAAGTAATAATACGGAGTACGTGTACGGCTGAGATATTTAAATGTAGTCGAGCGACATCACTTGTTGCCAACTAATACTATTTAGCTCAATATCTAAAGCACTTGGACTGCTTCTATAAAATTTACCGAATAATAGTAATTTTCCTTTTATCCACACTAGGTTGCATTCGGTGGAGAAAACCGTGTGTTAGTGCACGTGCACCTGCTGTAATAACAGTACTTATAGTAGTCAAATATTTATACATTTCGGAGAGAAACGGTTTGCTATAGTAGATGTAAACAGTAGAGGTGAAAATACCAATTCAATGAACTACTACTCCAATTGAAATTAGTTGTTTCTTAATTATTGATATCCTAGTGAATCTGTCTCTTGTGCTTTGTGTGTTATTACAATAGCGCATAATTACGTTTCATGGTCAAAGAATCCATGCTCTGTGTCACAAGTTCATCCGCCACGTGTAGAATTTCCCAACTGGCTACTGGAAAAATTTATCAGCAACTCTAAGGTTTACAATTTTGTCCTCAGACGAAGTTATTTTTGCCGTAATAGATTTTTAATTGCCACTATGCACCAAAAATTCCCATATCCCATACTGTGGTCGTACTAATTGCCAATATTTTTGTTTTTTCAATTTGAATAATTATTATTAATTACTAGCTTTTCACTAGATACTGCTGGTGTATTTCAATGGTAATTAGGCCCCATAGAGTAGTTGCTTTAGGCGAAATCAACAGTTAGGAATCTATCTGTGAGGTTAGATATTATTTTGCTACATCGAATTTTGGTATCAAAGAACACTGTATGACTTCTTCTGATAGAATTTCGCCAGGAAAAAGTTTTTTCAATTTATTTTTACCAACTTAACGTGATGCCACAAACCTTAGACTTTAAAAATCCGCAAAAGAAAAAGTTCAACGGCATTAAATCGAATGATCTGGGCGGCCAATTCTGATCACCAAAACGGGAAATTAGGCGACGAGGAAATAACTCATGTAGTAACTGAATTGTTTCTGGGGTTGTGTGGCATATGTCACTGTCTTGTTGTTGAAACCACATCTCGTCTACATCCATATCATGCAATTTAGGTAGAAAAAATTGCATTGTCATGTCGCAATAGCTAGCGAGCACCATTAACTGTTATAGCTTGACCAGCCGCATTTTCGAAGAAGAATGGTTCGATAAAAATAGTTTTAAACGTAATATTTTAGCTAATTTACTTATGTCTGAACCATCATAAAAAGATTTAAGAATGCTCTCTCTTATTAAAATATATATAAATTAAAATAATATTTGAACCTACGTGAAGTGGCAAGAAAAACTACATGAGTCTCGAGGACAGACATCTTTACATTATCTTAATATGTTTTTTTTCAATATCGAAGTATTTCAAAACGAAATAAAATTGAACGCAATAACATAATACTTGCCAATCCATCTGTTGAGTTTCTAACAAACAAAACGATTGCTACAACACGTCTAGTCAGATTTCAATTGACGTCGCAATACAAATATCAGAATAAAGGACTCGGAAAAAATAAAAAACATTGCTTTTCCTTAAGTGACAACTGTAACGAGGTTAGATGAGTTGAATTTAATTTAAGTCCAAGATTTTGCGGATGTGTTTGTTTTGAATAAACCAGTTTCCTGTTATTTATTGCCAGTAATATATATTTTTTTTCAGAATTTCTTTACAGATTTACTAGTAGATATTGATTCTGTATTGTTTAAGTTTTATTTATCTTGATTTTACAATTACATTTAAGTTTTTAACCTTATAAAGTTAAAAGAAATTGTCACAATTCATTATATGAGACCATTTAACATATTTATAATAAATTGACCAATCGGTTAAATTTAACACTATCGACTTTTAGAAATAAAAATAAAATAAATAAACAGCAATCATTATAGTAAACTACAAAATTATTGCCAGTAATTATTTTATGTCAATCATTCATTTATGGCCCTTGAAATTGATCAAAAAGAAATTGATCAACAAATAAGAATTAGTTCTATTGCCTCCAATTTCTTGGCGAAATTTACAGAAGCTAGGAAATTTAATATAATTTTTGTATTACATGTATTTGGCTAATCAATTTATTGAACTGAAAAAAATATATAAAATGAAAAATATAAAGTTAGTACTGTTCTTCCAGAATGATCAAGACTGCATCACTATAATACATTTAATAAATAAATAAAGAAAGAGGAAAGACATTCAACGAAAAATGTGGCAAAGAGGTTCTATATTTCATCTTTGTGTCAAAGACAGTTTTCATTTTCAAGGAAGATTTTGACAAATGTAAAACCACAGTGCAAGATTTGTTGCAAAACGATAGATTTTCACAAAAGAATCAAAACTATCAAAGTGAAAAGTAAGATAAAATTTTACAAATCAAATTACAAAAATCTCAAAAAACGAACATAGTTTTAAACGGTGACTGAAATACTTGGTACTTACCTTGATGAATCCTCCTCTGGAAGGCCTGAACACGGACGAATCGTTGCTGCTCCTCCTTGAAGAGGCCGAGAACGTGGGCTGAGGTGTTTTCTACAATAAATTTAAAACATTTTAAATGTTTTGAGCGTCTCTGCCTTTGATGATGCTTACCGATAGGAGAGCCGTGATCAGATCCGATACCACAGCTTCGTCTGATTTCACCTTGAAGTCCTCCTTCACGTGCGGTGAGTATAGTTCAGGACACCTTAGAATATCTTCTACTTTATCTAATAATTGTATTACTTGAGGATTTGAGTTTGAGCCCTCCCTGGCTTGATCTATCAGACTTATTATCTGGAAAAGAAAAGAAAATTTCATATTGCTAGTATTTCGATATTTTCATTTTCAATTTGTTTCCTATAAAAACATGTACAGCAAGTGAGGTCAAATAGAGAAACTATCACAGGAATAGAAAATCCAAATTTTTGCAGTATAGTTTCTCTAGAAAATATGTTTATGAAAGTTAAATTACACTAAAAAATTAAACAATACTACTAAACGTACATATCCAGATATACATATAGCAGCTTAATAGCACAAATAGCTTTTATTAAATATACCTGCATATTTGCAAACTATAACTTCCTCATAGTTGCATATCCTGAACCTGCTGCGATTTTTTTAGGTATCAGTTTTAAAAATATATATTTGTATTGGTAAATCTTTATTCGATATATCTAGTTTATTTAATAAAAAAAACGTTTGGACTTCATTAATATTTTTACTTGGGTATTACGTCATTGACTTGACATATATAAATCCAAGCACCCTATATAAGTGAGTAAGAGAGTATTTTTCTCATTTTATTTAAAAGGAGTAGATACTAGATGTTGGTAATTTTTCATCCGATTGAAAAATTAAGTTTGTTTTATTTGCAATTCCATCAAATTACAATGGGGTGCTTTTCAAAAAAGAAATGATTAAATTTTAAAAATATATATGAAGTGATTCAGATTTATACAGCAAATAACTCTATTTGAAGCCTTAAAATATAATTACTAAATGGAAATTCATTTCCTTAGGGCAATTTTGTGAGTAGAACGTACCTTTGTAAGACAAAGCGTCGGAGTTGATTTTCTTTTATAACAAGATTAAATGAAAATGTAAAAAATACGGCTGGACCTCAATAAAGGGAATTAGGGACGTAATTTAATTTAACGTTTCGGCTACACAATGTTCTTGAATATACTGGGAATGAGGGACAATTACGGTGTACAATTTCGAAGGAAATATTATAATTTGACGGTGCCTCCGATTATAAAAATGAAAAAAAAAAAAAAATGATGGCCTATCAAAAAAAAGTTAACATAAAATATAGAAATTTATTAACTAATTGACTATTTATAAATGGTTAAATAGGAAAATAATGTTTTGTACTATACAGTGTGGACCATTTTGATGATGCATGTATTGGTATCTTGGCAACTATGAGATAGGAAAATGGTTAAATGGGGAAAGTTTCAGACAGTTTAGTTGCTAATTTAATGGCGCTTGGAGACCGATCCTAGCTCTTCAGGTTTTTGAGTTATTTTGAAAAAAATAAAGGTGGCGTATTCGAAAATCGTCTGTAACTTTTTTTTTACAGGAATTTTTAAAATCAAATAACTTTTCCACAACAAGTTGTTTCCAGTAATTTCACTGTATATTTTCATTGCAACTTTCTTTTTTCTTAGGAATGCCATGTTGAATTTCAAGCTGAGCAAATAGAGTATTTTTTTGGCTCTACAATGATATAAGTAAGAAAAAATTTCAAAAACAACCTCAAAAATTAATATTTTTAATAAATCTGGCAACACCGCATAATTTTTAGAAACTGTTATAGAATAGTCTCAAATTTTTGTAGAAGCTTATCATTAATGTCATGGCAAAAATGATAGTAATGGCCACGTGTTTACAAAGAAAAGCCCCATTAGTAGTCTATGAATCCCCATGACGATAATAATATTTTCATTTGTTTCAAACTGCTTGTCATTTTGAACTATTGTTAATCATATAGCTAATTGTTAACACTTGTTTTAAAATCATCAAAATGGCTTTGCGTTACTCCAGTGAAGAAGACTGTCTTATTAAAAATGATGGAAAAGCAATTGTGGCTTTAATCCCGAAAGACAACCACGGTATTTTTCTAAACTTGCGACAAATTTAAGAATGTTAACCACAGTTTCTTTTCCATTATTTTTAATAAAGCCAACATATCACATTTATATATATTTTGTTATGATTGTATGTGTGTATGGTTTTATATGTTAGCGCCAAAATAAATTTTGTTAGTTTTGATATTAATTTTGATTGGATTGGTGTATTGTGTATTGTCTATCTTTGCCCTATCTAGCTCTAGACTCTATCTCCGTAGTCGGTTCTATGTTCTATCAAGAAACCACACCAAGCACAGCTACAAAAACAAAAGGTTTAGTAATAAATGTATTTATTAAAAATTTTTT